CAGCGCCACCCCCAGGCTCCCCCAGGGAAGTGCTGGGCACGAAGGGCCCGGCTCAGCACCGAGCCCCGTGCCGGGACGGCCAAGGCGCTGCAGGGCCCCTAGCACCAGTGGCAGCACACAGCAGGGCAGGGAGGCCGTGCTGGGCTCCAGGATGCTGCAGGGTGCACAGCCCTGTGTCAATACACATTACAGCCCTGCGCCTTGGGTAGGGCCACGCAGGCCCCCAGACCCGGGGGCAGGGCTGAACGGCTGTGCAAAAGTAATAGTAAACAAAGTGCAGCCGAAGGGGAGCAGAAGAGGCAGGCAAAGCGGCAGGCAGGTGCTGTGGGAGCCTGGCCACCCCAGCTCCATCTGCCCAGGAAGGAGGGTAGTGACAGTTGCAGAGTGGGGTGCAGAAAGAGGGCAGGGCCTAGAGACTCCCCCCCGACACACACTCCCGCTTACCTTTAAATAAAAAAAAAAAATTGTGCTGTGCAAAAGACACTTTGTACAATTCAAACAAAACAAACTCCATGCACATGAACGGGGCTACAGAACACCCCAAGCCAGGACCCGGCTCCCCAGCACCACCTGGCAGAATCCCAACAGAAACAGGGCTGGAAATAATACTGACACGCAAAGTCCCCTTTAATAGGCGGGCAGGGAGGATTGTCAAAAAAAAAAATTGTGCTGTGCAAAAGACACTTTGTACAATTCAAACAAAACAAACTCCATGCACATGAACGGGGCTACAGAACACCCCAAGCCAGGACCCGGCTCCCCAGCACCACCTGGCAGAATCCCAACAGAAACAGGGCTGGAAATAATACTGACACGCAAAGTCCCCTTTAATAGGCGGGCAGGGAGGATTGTCGCTGGGCCCAGCCACGGCACATGCAGGATGAGCTTCCAAGCACTGCAGCTGGGGTCTTGCTGATGCCCTAAGGTGATGGACAGACACAGAAGGGGGCACAGGCAACAAAGCCGCACTGGCCGCCTGGGAGCCGAGGGGTGCTAAGATGACACTGTGACCGCCGTCAGGGCTCCATTCCGGGTGTAGTAGAACTTGCTGAATGCCTCTTCAAGTAAACAGGTAAGTCTGCTCTGGTCCGCCTGGGAAGAGCAAGCTACAGTGAGGGGTGGGTCCAGCTTAGTGCAAAGCATGGGGCATGGCTAAAGCCTGTCAGGGCACATAGGCAGGGACATATGTTATTTCACTTCCTTCTCCAGGTGGAAAAGGGTTATCAGGTGCAAATACTTAGTTTGAAATAGGAATGTAGAGCTCTATCCCTGCCTGAGCCCCAGGCCTGCTCACCTCACTGATGAATCCCAGCTGGACCAGTTCAGCTGCCAGCTCCTGGATATTGTCATCTGCAACACAGGGAAGGGCATAAGTCCCGTCTCTGACAGCCACTGGCCCCAGTGCATGAGAGTATGGGAGGAAAGGTACTTACTGGGCTGCAGGTCACAGCTCAAGTGTCGATTCAACTTGTCTTCCAGTTTCAGCAGCAGTGTTAACTGCAGGGTAGAGAAGTGCTCATGAGCAGCTGCAGCCTTGCTGGCTACCACAGGCAGTGGCTGCCCTGGAGAGCCAGGAACATCTCCAGGAATCCCCATCAAGCTGGGAATCACCCCCCCTCCAGAACCCCACAGAAGTCTAACACAGACTGCATCCAGTTCAGTTCCCAAACAAGAGCCAGAAGCACCATCCTGTGGAGGAAGCACCCTGAGCCTGCATCTGGGGGTGGGCTGGAAGTGCCCAGTCAGTGCTATGTGCCAAGTCAGCTGCAGGCTCTGGCCTGGATCTGGCTTTGGGCTCCACTGACTGCAGCTCTGGCAGCAGAGGGTCACACCAGGCACCAGCAGCACATCAGAGTGCTGGAGCCACCTGCTCTGCACCAGTGCCTTGGGACACCCCCACACAGCATGCTCAGCCAGATGGGAACATACATGATGCTTGACTCCCTCCTCTACTGACTCAATGTTGCACTGCATCAGCACCACCTGAAACAGAAACAGAGATGCCCCATGACTGACTGCTGCTGTACAACACAGCTGCCCAGAGAAGGGAGAAACAGTGCTCCCATCTCTCACCTTGCGGGTCTCCACCTCAGCAGGCTCTGGAGTTGGGGTTTTCACTGATGGTGGGACAATGGGAGACTTCACTACCACCTGCTGGGGCTGCTGGGGTCGCGGCATCCCAAAAGCAGTGAGTGGGTAGATGCCATTCCTGCAAGAAAGGAGCAGAGTCTGAAGTTACACTTCTATCTCTCTCCAGTCTCACACACACACACTAAGGATGCCCTTTAGAAGGGGCCTCTTACCTTACATCCTCTAGGAACTTGTCCAACTCCAATGCTGGAGATTGTGAGAAGCTGGAAGAAAGAAAAAGTACTGAAGTGAAAAGTTAGCTAATACAACCACATGCTTGAGTCTCCTAGAAGGATGTACTTTCAAATCCCCATGTCCTAGACTATGGCTGTGGCAGTGGGGAGAGATGAGTACGGAGAGAGGCAGCCAGCCAAACACGAGATGGACTCCACTGCTGTGAACAGCTGCTTTCTGTACAGCAAGATGGAAGGATGAGGGAACATTTTAATTAGGACAGAAACAGATATCTCCTCCTTGTAGAAAGTTGTCCAATACAATTATTTGGAAACTAGCCCAGTAACACCATGCTCCTAGCATGGCGTTTTGCAGACATCTGTTATGCCAGATGCACGAAGATAGGGTCCCCTCTCCGGAAAAGAGGGCCCTCAGCACTGCAGAGGCAAGGATCTCTGCAGCAGCTGATGGCACCACATAACCAACCATCTCACACCTTGGACAAACAGCTAGAAACCAGCACCTCAGGATTTAATGCGCTACCCAAGTATTTCTCCCTGCTGTTCCAGATACTCTGTTCTCCATGTAATTCCTTCTAAGGATTACTCACTCAGTCTTAGTGGCTTCTTAATGTAATGAATTCCAGAAGAAGTCTTCCTATCGGTCAGTTTTGAATTCCCCAGCCTTTAATTCCATTGAACATCTCCCTTGCTGGTGCTTGAGAGGGGGATAACAGGCACTCACAACCCCTCTCCTTTCTTCCATAACTTGTCACATGCTTTTTCCTCTTTCTCATTTCCAAGAATATACAATTCCTCCATGTGGCAAAAATGATTTTCAGCCCCTTGGTAAAGTCAGTTCTCTGATCTGCTCCAGAACTATTCACTCAAGGTTCACAAAGGATGCCACATTGTAAATGTAACGTCTTTAGACATTACACCCAGTCAGCATCACCTTTTCTCCCATTATTTGGCACTCTGATATCATATTTACTCTCAGCTGTAAGCTGCACCGTAGTGAATTTTCATCAAGCTCACAACAATCTTTTCCTGTGGTGTTAGTTCACAGCCTTCTCAGACAGAAACAATTGTTCTTCCTCTAAAGCAAGTTATTTGCATTCATCAGTCTTTCCTTTTGCACAGTACAGGGGAATTAGCAACACCAGAACAGTCTGCAGTCCCCACCTTACTTCTATCTGGTTCTGACTAGCTAGGAGCCACAGGTTCTCCTACTTCACTAATTCCTCAATACAACACACTGCTCATTACCTTGGTTAATGCAGCTTGTTAACATCCACTTGACCACAACTTAATTTAGACTGGCCACAACAAAAATGTTAAACAGTAACAGTCGTCTTTACCACTGTCTTAGCATTTCAAAGAATTTGAGAGATTAGCAAGAGACCGCAAGCTGCGCAAATCCTGCCATGATCCTTCAAGAGCTTTACTGTTCCATCAAATCAGGTGTAGACTGCCTATTTACCTCGATTCCTCAGACCACTCTGCAGCCCCTTTTAGAATATGCAAACATCTGTTACTTTCCCAACCTCTAGTACAGTAGCAGTTTTAAGCAAGAATTTACAATTTTGCCAGCAGCTCAGCTTCTGTGGAACTCTGATGAATCATCTGGAAATGATGTTCTTTGACATTTCAAGTCATTACTGTGCTTCCCATTTCTTCCTCCAGCACCTCTGAGGCATCTCACTACTAAGAAGCAGGTCCCAGGCTGGCATGTGCCAGACAACCAGTTCTCTGAAGACTGTAGTCCAGTATAGTAGAAACTTTTGTACAGCTTTGGCTATTCATTCTTTGTCCCCCTTTTTGAACCTTTAATTAAAAACCCATCCCAAAGGGAATTCAATACTATTAATTACTATCTCTAGGAAGATCAGAAGGCCAGTTTTTAAGAGATCTGTATGGCTCACATAGCCTCTCCAATGAATAGTGGTTTCCTCCATGTCTTCCAGGTTTCTTTTGACTCACTAGCCTGAGCATCCCAGAATCCTGGTCTACCTTGGAAGCACCCTGGCCATGTCTGGGACTAACACCTGTAATCTTACAGTCTTTCCAGTTAACCTCTCAACCAGCTGAGGTTTCACAATCCAAAATTTAAGATCACTTTGGTACTCTGCTTGCTTCATACATATTATGGTCACTTTCCTAAAGAGCTGCCTCTGCTGCTTAAGTGATTGCTGTGTGTTACTGACAGCTGTCCATAACAGCTTCTCCCATTGCATATTGTAAAATGAGCTGTTATGAAAATGCTGAAGAACTATTTCTCCAACGTTGCAAACTCCATTTGACAAGTCTGTGAGCGGTCCAAGCACCTTCCCCAAATTGTTCTGCCAGGTTTTGCTAAGGATGCTCCAAGTACAGGATGCTAGTTTCCCTCCCCTCAATCTTGGGAATGATTCACATCTCAAATGCATGGAATCTGTTCACACAACATTGGTGCATGGTCTTCCTCCACCCAGGAGCTACCCCCCACAGAACTCCTTGTACCCAGACAGAGAAAGACCACTCTTTCACCAACAGCGAGGGCAGCTCCTTTTTGTTTCCCAGTTCTTGGTGAAATGACAGCACTAACTTGAAAGGAACAGTCCCAGATAGATTGCAGATACTTCAGTGCTCACCCCAATGCCCTGGAGTCCATTCTCACATGCACCTGAGCAGCCCCCTCCCAATAGACCATGGAGTACTCACATCATCTTGATTCCTTCCCTTTCAGCATGGTTAATCTCTGCCAGCACTGCACTCATGTCAAGGTTTTTGGTCATTTCCTCTAAGGCATTTTCAGGAATCATATCTATTAAAATAATAACAACAACAGTTAGAACTGAACTACTGCAACTCCCTTCCATCCTAAGGACAGCAAATTGCAGCCCTTGCAGCAACTACAGTTCTGTTTCACAAGGCCCTGCTCTCAGTTACGAATGGTACAGAAGTCTTGCTTCCCAGGATAGACAGCTTAATGAACACTTAGTGGAGCTTTGCAGAACACAAGATGTGGCATCCCGGGATCCCATACTCACGCTGATGCCCAACGATACAGTGAGCTGCCAGTAGCTTTAGCGATGGCACCTCAAACAATGCCTGATGAAAAAGGAGCTCCCGGGCAGTAGGACGCTTGCCAGGATCCAGTTCCAGACACTTCTGAATGAACTCCTGCAAAGTAAAAATAGCATGAGACCATGTACAAGGCCTGCAGGCTTGCAGGAACACTGACCCCTGCTCACTCACCCTCTGCAAGGGGTCTTCCAGCAGCTGAATGGCACTGTTAATGGCTTCCTGGGGCACATAAGATGACTCTCCATTACCCTGTATTTCCAGGACTGCCATCTGCCAACATAAAGCAGCACATCAGACTTCACTGAAAATTGGTACTGCCTTGAACAGAGCTCAAGGAGACCACTGCCAAGAGTGAGATCATAAGAGCCAAGTTGTTTGGTGCTATTTAAGGTCACAGTTCCTGGAGGCAGACAAACAGAGAACAGCTGCTTCGTTGTAATAGTTTGTTTCTAGCACCCCAGTGGATTGCCTGGGAAACCTGAAAACTATGCCAACATGACCTTAGAAAGTTAATCTCTCTCTCAAATCTCATGGTCCACTGGCCTATACTTTTGGTTGATAATTCCCATCCCCTACTGAACCAGTAAGTTGGATCACTGCCAGAATCTGGCAGTGTCTCTCCTGGCTGCATGAATAGCTTTGTATTACAGGCAAAAAAGCACCGAACACACACAATGCCATCCAGAACTGGCTCTGGCCAGCACATGTACAAATTCCTAGTTAGGAAAGGCTCACAGAAAATTCCAGAGAATGTTAAGATTCAACACAACTCTTATGAAGCAAAACTTGAGTTTTTTCATACAGTTCTTTTCCTGCTTCACTTACGGGATGTGCAGCATATGTTCAGAGTTTTTTGTGCTGGCTCTTTCTCCCAGATAGTACTCCTACCAACTCCCATTTGCTAATCTTCAGCCTATTGATCACAGGGACAGAGGAATTGCTAAGCTGCTGAGATCAGGTATCTCAGACTCACACTTGACTGTGACCAGCACCTGCTATAACAGGTGGGGACAGGATGGCCCAGAACAGTTATGGACTACAGCTGTCCTCTCCTCCAGATACACAGGAAGAAGAGATACTCCCTGGAAGGGGAGTTTTGTGTTCCTGTATGCTCAGTATAGTTTGCAGTAGTGACTGTTCCCACCAGCAGCTGGGTCAGTCTTCAGAACTAGCCATGACCCACAGGGTAATGAACTGCACACCACAAATTTCAGAAGGAACAACTCTTTACTGAGCTATTTACTTTCTAGTAAGGCAACATTTGGGGGAGCCTCAGATATGGAGCCCTACAAGGCAAAATAGGCTTGGCTCAGAGAGCGTAGCATACTTGTTACTAAGCTAACCTACCTGTAACCACAGCAATTCCACAGAGCTATCTCCTCCTCTAACTCATCTCTTCTCTATCCCATAACCAAATGCCCCACACTCACCTCCAGTGCACACATCCCAAAGGAGTAAATGTCCACAGCGGTGGTGACATTGGCAACTTCTGTAACACAGAAACAAGGCTCTGTTGTCAGTCCATCCCTGCACTCAGCAGCAGGACTACCCTGTATTAGGCTACGATAACCCTTCAGCTTTCCCTTCCTCTGCTATTTGAAAGATAGAGTTGGAGCATTTAAACAGGCAAATAACACTAAACAGTTAAATGCTCTCATGAGCATGCAGCTGAAAACAAGATGCAAGAACAGCCCGCACACATTAGTGAGTCAGGCCAGCAAAACCCAGGCTTGAAACTGTTGCCATACCATACCTCCATACTCTGGGGCAAAGAAGTGCAGGTTCTTCTGTTCCTCACGACATGTCTTCACATGGTTGTTAATTGTGTCCGGTGCCACTGGGAGGAGAAAGGAGGGGGGAAAAAAAACACACACACAATGCTTAGGATACAGCAGTCCTTAGTCCACCCCCAACTAGATCCCAGGAAACATATGCAATTCCAAGGCCCTCTGCCTGCCCAGAGGGGCAGCACAGTGGAGTTAAGTTGGCTTCTCATCAGTCCCCCATCTCAGCAAGGCAAGTCAGGTGACCTGCCCTGAAATATTTCTGCGTTGTCTCCTCGGCTGCATGTTCATTGGGGCAGCTTAGCAAGAGCAACCATGGAGTCCACAGCATCTGTGCAAAGGTGTGTGCTTGGGGGGGAGTAGGGGGTGGAAATCAGCTGGCAAGGACTCTCCTGTTACAGTGCCAGCCCCAAAAGCTCCTCACTTAAGTCAGACCTATAGCATTTGTCATGAGCAACCTGGCTATCTCAGAAGCCTCAGGAACAGCCAAAGGTGCCAAGATTACTGCAGTTAAAGTCACCACCTCAGGGCTCTTGGAAAGGGTCAGCTCCACAAGGCAACTCTTCTTAGTAGGGCACTGGTGCCAAAGAGCCTCAAGGTAAAGCCAGAGTTACTTAATGAGGAGAGTTAATCACCCTGACAGCAGATGCCTCATCACAGCTAGGACCTGCTGTCCCTTCACCCAGGTCACTGATGAATACATTGAGCAGGGCTGGACTCTATACTGACCCCTAGTTACCAGCCTCCAACTAGATTTTGTGCCACTAATCACAACCCTCTGAGCACTATTTAAGACTGTCAATTGAGGACTTTTCTCCAAAACTGGAAATCTTTGCGTGTCAAGACATTCAAGACTTCTGCTGGGCACTTGCAGGAACCAAAAATAATTTCCCCTAATTTATAATATTCCACTGGTGGGGTGAGTGGTTTAGATAAGGACAGCTGCAGCCCTATGAAGCATCAGAGACTGATCAAAATCACAAAGGCAGTGTTGCTGGAGATGCACACCCACCTGAGTACGGAGAAATTTGGGAGCAGGTTTTTAGGAATGAATTTTTCCTGCATGTCAGACTTTCCAACAGTAATTTTTCAGCATTCCTGAGGCCTGGGCTGTAACTCGATCTTAAGATCACCCTGATGTATTTCATCTAACAAGTTCCCCGGTACAGCAGGGCTCTTTATTTTTCCCACTTTCTATAAAATGGGGAATTTAAGACTTTTCAGGAAGCCTTCTGCTCTAAAGTCAGAAGGGTGTGTGGGGTTTTTTTTGTTTTTTTTTTTTAATGGAATGATGGGCTTTTGTGTAGCAGATAGCATATATGAAACACGAAACAGGTGTTTTTGGGGGCCCTGCCAGACTTAACACCTATTGCATGCATGATGGCCTCAGACTACAGGGAACTGACTAGACAACCTGGGAACATTAAAAATAAGTCTTATACTTTGTTTTTTGCTGCATTACTTATCAGTGCAATGGAGTATAAGAGCAAGTAGGAACCATCTTCAAATCACCTTCAACTATGCAGCTCTGTACAGTGAAAGATCTGGGAACCACCACACCAAGACTTTGCACGTTGCTGAGCTGCTATCAGGCAAGTGCCAGACCCCTGAGAAGGGCACAGACATCAAGGCCTACCCTGAGGGAAAGGCCTTATGTCAGGAGTGACAGTGTTGCAGGAATTCAGCACATCCCACCAAGTGTTAGACCAGTGCCCTCAGACGAGAATTCTGACAGGGTACCATCCAGGACACCACTTCTGCTAAATGTGGAACAGAATTGGCCAAGCAGCATGTTCCAAACCACGTTTTGATTAGCTTCATTTTCCAATAGGTCTTTAAATACTGTTAACACAGTCACTAAGAGGTGTCTGTTGAATGGCAGAGGCCAGTTCCCTATCCACCCATTCTGTCCTTTGCTCCTGGGCCTCATTTAGGAAAGGAGAAGAGGCGAGATCAATCACAAAAAAGGTTTCAACAACGGAAACCTTAGACAGTGGTGTGAAATAGGCACTCCCACAGGGCATTCTGTACTAGAATGGCAAGTTACAATGGAATCCTTGCCCAAACCCTATTGATAAGGGCTCTCTGCACCTTTTTTAGGGTTCAAAAATAAGCTTCTCTGCAGAACATCCCTAGGATCCTGACAAAGCAACAGACCGGTTGCAACTAGCAGTTCTAAGAGCAGCTGTTTGCACTACATGTGGGAACTTCTTACTCAGACACACAAAAAAAGGAGTTTTGAATTTACTGTTGCAGGTTACCCAGGGATCTGTCCTCTCTGATGTTCTGGTCCTTGTGCCTCCAAACTTGCAGAATCCTTCTGGAATTCCTCAATGTGTTTTTCTGTCATTATTGCAGAAACTGGCTCTGCAGCAGGGTTTGATTAGCCACGTTTAGCAAGCATTTTTCTGTTCCAGAAATTTGCATCACAGCTCATATGTGACTTGGCTATGTCACATGCATAAGCTTGCTCTGTTATTGCGAGCTTGAAACAATGGAATGTTAAAGCAATGGTGTAAGACCACCAGATCCTTCACCATATGCCTTACAGAGCTAAGCAGAGATGGGCTTTTCAGACACACATCTGTCCATTAATTACTGTGGCAGCAACAATCCATTGTGGAGAAGTCAACTCTGAACAACTCACTGCAAGCAAGCCTGTTGAACAAGACAGACAAAACTGATATTGCGCCTTGTGACAGCATTTCAGAAGCTGGGACAAGAGATGATTTTCGGTCTAGTCTAGTCCTTATTGTATGCCAAGATGATGGACCTACAAGCCACTTAGATTAGATATAGGAGGAGAGGAGCTTTGCCAGAGCATACGTTTTAAAAGCAACCAAAGTCATAATTGTGAAAGATAAGAACACAGGTCAAACTTTTAAGGTACCTCTGACATGAGCTCTTGCACGTGGCTTCTACCTGCCATCTACCAGTGCTGTGTGCGTTTATCTTATAAAGCAATTGGATGACAGCCAGCCCCATAGGGCTTAACCTAAAGACGCATCAGTGTGTACCTACAGCAATGAGATTACAGAATCTTACATTTACACTGTTGGCCCAGATAGAAGCACACGGTGAGGACTTGGGGCACGTGCAACCAGATCAGGAAATTAGGTGGACAAGCATGGCAGAATGGTGCACCTAGTGATACAGCTTTAATCCTGTAAAGAATCAGATGCCTGAAAAGTCAGGGATAGTAACGTTAAGCAAGGATGGACAAACAGCGAAGGTCAAAAAGGAAGGTCAGATCACCAACATTAACAGCGAATATGCCCTTCTCAGCCACAGAGAAGGGGAAGACAGCAAGGGGAAGACCACAAGAGGACATAGTACTGCCTGACTGATCAGTTTGGCAGGGAATTAGCAAGAGGAAGATGGATTTTGGAGACGGCTTCAGCCAAATCTGGTATCATCTGCCTTGCATGGATAGGAAGAGACATGAAGCACAGTTGAAGGGAAAGCAAACAGCTTGCCTTTGGCAAGCGAGTTGACAATAAAAGCATAAATAAGAAAAATAAGTATTATTTACAGCAACACACAGAGCTTGCTAGACATCTCAAACCCTCAAGGACATGCTACTGCAAAGAGATCTCACCAGGGTAAACAGACAGCTTATCAGAGAGCTGGTCAGTCATCAGGAGCATCGGCCAAAAACTCACTTAGTGGTGTTACCTCCCAGCTGTCAACAATGGCAAGTTTTAGAAGAGATGCCTAACCACACAAGAGACTTGCCCTTTTAAACACTACATGCTGAAGACAATTTTCCGCTTGTCCTGTATGCGATTCTCCTGCACCTCTGTTCTGCACTCACCACTTCCTCCTTGCAAACAGGCAAGCTAGTCTGCTCAGTTCTTCCTTTGCTCTCAAAAAGTTCAAGGGGTAAAGTACCCATTCCACTCCAAGTCTCTTGCAAATGCCTAAGCTTTCTCTGAAACAGGAATATATTCTTTCACTCTACTAGAAGAGCGTAGAAGTACACTGTACTCTCGATCTCAGCAGATTTAGAAAGCGGGGGAAAAAAGATGACAGCCAGGAGGGTCAACAACTAGACTTTAAGATTAGCCCCAGGCTTGTTCAGCAATCCAGCGACAGGTGACCATTAACTATCCCACCTTTGCTGCACAGCGTCACAGGGACCCAAAGTTCTTCAACTGACAGCAAGACCATTTGTTTGCAACTCTCAAGGGATGGCCACGGAGCCAGGATACATATTAGACCGCATTATCACCCTCTGCTCTCAAACGTTCAAGACAAAATTTTCACTACTGCAAAAGAGCTTAAGGCTGCACAAACACAATGCATCTCACAGTTTACTTCATTTGCACACTAAAGTGACATATGCATTTTCCTTAGGGAGGCCACAGCCTAGAAGATAAGCAACTAGGAAGCTATCAATAACAAACTGAAGCACACTGCCATTAAGCATGGAATGAAAAAGAAAAATGCAGTAGCCAATGCAAACTGATCACAGGATATAAGCATCTTATAGCCCTGCAAATCTACCTCGGGAGATGTAAACAAACTATTTGGATTTTACTGTTAATTATCAAATTCATTTAAAGACACTAGCTGGTGCTTACTGCACCAGAAGCAAAAAGATTTAACAGCTGAATATTTAACAAGATGAAGAGGCAAAGAGGTTCATTACAAGAAAAGTTCACTAGGTTTGATTACCCATGTGCCAAAGTAGAGCCCCTCAACTACTTACACCTGTGTTTATCTTGTCACATCCATTGGCATTGCATCCAAGCAGTGTAACTAGCATCTGCCTAAAAAACAACCAATACTATTGCTTCAAAGAAAACACTACTGTAGCAGAAGCAGTGGCACTTGCAACAGGGAGCTGATATCATACAAAAATTGGTGTAGTTCAAGACTTATCCTTCTCCACACCAATTAATATAAAGGCATAGAGATGAATGATGGAAGGAAACAGCAGAACGACCATGCTGTGTCAAACTTCCTGTGGAAGGATAGATGATATTTTTATGTTAAGTAAAACCCATTCTTAATTTAACTGACATGTTTCTGTCTGGACACAAGACAACAC